CGCATCCACTTGGCCTGGGGTTCCTGGGTCACACAGCAAAGCTAGCAAGGAGCAGAACTGACCTAGGCCACCACAGAAGTCCAGGCTGACAGCACTGTCCAGCTCACCAACATTCTGTGCATGGAGGCAGAGGGCAAGGGGCTGGAGGTCTAATCAAAAGGGCAGCAGGAGGCCATGGGACCAGCAACCGAGGGTGGAACCAGAATTTAAAGCATGCAGGGTCAGGGGTCAAACAAGCCCGATCAATCAAAGAGTTAAGTCACTTCATAGAAGTGAGTCTCAGAGCCCCGGAGGAGGAGGAGGAGCAGCTTCTGTCCTGAGGAAGGGTGGTCTGGGACTCACAGGGATAGGTGAGAATAAAAAGAGAGCTCAGACTGAAGAGGCCTGGGCATGAGTCTGGGCCTGCTGGAAGCATTTTACAATGTCACAAATCTTCCCTAGGCCATAAGCTGCATTATTATGATACCCATTTTACAGGTGGGAGAATGGTAACACAGCGGTTAAAGACCTTGTTTGAAGCCTACAGTGTGTTGAGACCTAGGCTGGGACTCAGGGAGCTGGTTCTATTCTCCACACACATGCTGCTGCCATTGGTGTGGACAGGACTCCGTTGTGGAGGGATGGTAGCTAGCCCAGGGGCAAATGCCTTCTCTGTTTATCTTCCTGGAAATGACAGACTGTCGGAGGAACTGTGTCAGGAGAAAAAAAAAAAAAGCATATTCAAAAGCTGCAAATTTGCCACTTGCTGATATCATCAGCAGCTTTCCAAGGAGGCAAGTAAGTAGTCTCCCAGCAGTTGATGCGGCCCCGGGCAGCGGAAATCAATCATCTCTCTCATGATCTCACCTCAAAGAAAACGATCACAAAGTCAAGGCCCACAAGCATCCCCACAGTAGTCAGACACGTGGCTGCATCCCTGCCATAAATCAAAGGGGATGCCCAGCTTTTCATCAGATGCCTGAAGATAATTCCCCTGCCATTTCCCCCTGCTCGATCGGACTCAGAGGGCCACAGCTAAAGGGTTAACATCTCATTTCCTCTTGTCTTTCAAGCCTTAATCCCCATCCTGAGCTGGGTGCATTCCAAGCCCACCTGGAGCAGGTCAAGACCAGCTCCCAGCCCATGACTGGTCCTTCATTTCCCCTGGCAGGAGATTAGATGAGGCACCCATTAATCACTCATTACCTCTGTCTTCCCTGCTGGTCAGGCCTCGGGCAGCCTGCCAAGGGGCCTGGGAGGGTGCTTGTGAGCTGTCCAGTGCCACCCTCCCGGGGACAAGACACAGAGGCACAAGCCTGGCTCCCGACCCTGTGGACCACACCCAAGCAGACGGAGAACACTGCCTATCTTCACCTAAGCTATCCTTCAGGATCCCAGACCACAAGCATCTACTGCTTAGCTGAAAGATTAGGGAACGAAAGAGAAATAAACTAAGAATGACCACACTTTCCCCAAGACGACAATCACTGGGGAGAAAAGCCACTGCCCACCTGGTATTCGTGCCCTTCAGAGGACCCAGAGGGAAGCTGGACAGGAAGTGGAGAGAAGACAGGATGCTGGATGGATGATTACCATAGTACAACTGTGTGTGCAATGGCTGGGCTGGAGCACGGGGCAGTAAGAGTCCTTCAGACAGAGCCAGCACCTACAGGAAAGTTTCTTCTGGAAGACGGTTAATGAGCACCCGCTTCTCTCCAGCACTGATCAGTCAGGGTAGACAGGAGAAATGAGAAGTGACACTGAGCACCTACTATGTGCCAAGGCTCTGCCTAACGGGCTTCAAAGCCACGCTAGTCTCTAGGCCTCGCTAGCCCACTGTTCTGTGTGAAGATGGGGGTGGGAGGAGGGCAGATATAAAGAACTGTTAAGTGAGAATCTGCCATGGGTCAGCCGCCACTCCAGATCGGCTGTGGCTAGCCTGGCCTGGCCAGCTCTATCTGGAAGAGTCCAGCCTATATTGTGCCCCCACCAGCTTGGGGTTTTCAAACCAAGGTATTCTGATCTTTCTTCTTAATGCTTGTTCAGATCGTGGGTCGCAAGGGCTGGGTTTCAATGCTTTCAGGGAAAGCAAGAAGGATATGCTGTGCTTTCAAAAACTTGTTTCAAAGGCCCCTTTAGCAACAACAAAATGTGGGGGTCGGGGGGCTCTCCTGAACTCACAACTCCAAGGTCCTCTGCCATAGATAGATGGATGGATGGATGGATGGATGGATGGATGGATGGATGGATGGATGGATAGATAGATAGATAGATAGATAGATAGATAGATAGATAATGTAAAAGTCAGGCATAGTGATACATGTTTATAATACTAGTTCTGGGACAGGCAAACACAGGCATGTTCCTGAGACTCAGACTGACATCCTATGGCCTGTGTAGTACACATGCACACTTGCAAGCACATGCACACACACACACACACACAGCTAAGCCAGGACAGCTAAGCCAGGTATGGTAGCAAACACCCATAATCTCAGTGTTCCAGTACCTGAGACAGAGGATGATCAGCTCAAGGCCAGTTGAGCTACATGTTGAGGCCTTGTCTGAAAGGGGTGGGGAGGGGGAAGGAGATGGAGAGGGAGAAAGGGAAGGAGGGAGAGAGGTAGAAACAGGGAGAGGGGGAAGAGAGAGAGACAGGGAAGAGCAACAAGCCATTTGTGATAGACTCTGCATCTGTCACTACAGTTTCATTCCTGGTCCAAAAGACAACCCGGGGCTGAGGTCTCCAAAACTCTGTGTGCCTAGGAAGGAATCAGTTTCTCCCTCTTCTGTACACGTGCACATGGCTATCCATATTCACTCATCCATCCCCCTCTGTTGTGTTCCTTTACTTCCGTCCTTCCTCCCTGGGTGGTCATTTATCAGCAGCTCTCCTCTCAGCCCCCGGAGGGAGGGCAGTGATACCGTCTTGCTCTGTATAAACCCCCAGCACACAGTAATAATCCCTGGCACACAACGAAAGTTCAGAAGTATTTTCTGGAGAAAAATTAAATGGAAGTGAATACTGGGGAGCCATTGTGATTTCTTGCAAGGAGATGTGGTGAAGTCAGAATTTCAGGAATATTAATCTGTCAGCATGAAAGGAGATGGATTACAATGAGGAGAGCCACCCATGGCTGGTAGTCAGGAGGGGAAATTGGTACTGTAATTTGGACATGGTTTAAGGTAGGGGCAGGCAAATAATTTGAGATATCATGAAAGAATGTAGAAAGGGCTTTGTGATAAATGAGCTATGCATGTAGGAAATGGGATGAGGGTGCTGGGGGGGGGGGCACCTGAACACGGATACCAACAGGGATAAAAGTGATGCCCAGGAGAACAGTGTGGAGGGTAGAGAAGGAAAGGGCCGAGCCCAGGCTCTGTGGGTAACAGACATGATTGCTAGATAAACAAAAACTTCAAGTCCTGACCTTCCTCCTGAACTGTATTCTGTTTTCCTTCCTTCCCACCTGGCTATGAGACTTCGCCCATGGCACAGAGGGTGAGACCAATGGTGCCCTGCTGTGGCTGGGCATGGAGACCACAGGAGCCCAGTCACCGCCACAGTGAGGCCAATGCAATCACTTGTGTTAGTAGTGGTTCCTCATACTCTCGTCACCCAAACTCATTCTGCAGGCTGGGCCTTTGGGAATTCCCTGCTCCAGCCCTGCAGAGGTTTATGGGAAAGCCCCAGGACCCTCATCTGCTTCCTCACATTAATTTCCAGGTTATGACTGCGTTTTTTCAAAGGAATTCAACTATGGTGCCAACAAAAATCTATAGGAATTGAGTAGGGCTACATTTAAATCACATTTTTGTTTAAATGTTTGCTCCTTTGTACACAGAGACCCAGTTAAGATTCTCTCAGGTCCAGTAACCATGCCCCTTCCATCTCTACCAGGTCAGAGACACCCATGATGTCAAAGATAACAGAGTGGCTCTAAAAGGTGTCAGATCTTGGCTGATGTCTGGGTGTCTCAGATGCAAAGGACGTTGGATATGATAATTCTTTGGCGTTCTGAGCTACCTGTTTCCCTTACTCCAAATTCTAATAGGCTTCAGTTCCCCAGATCCAAGGCTTCCATTCACCTACTGCCTGCAAAAGGGCGGGGGAGACACTGGTGAGGGATGCACTTTTAACGGCACAGAGAGCTGGGGGGACTACTTAAAACCTCACTAGACCCCATAATTCCGCATGCTAAGTGATTGCCCCGAAAGCCTCTCCCCAAGCTATTTCTAAGAAAAATGAAACTTCCTTTACAGATCTCCCCCACTTCAAGGTGAGCAAGTCGGTCAAAAGCTAATTCTTCAGTCCTATGAGAGAGCCACAGTTCTGTGAGCCGCACCTGGTGTATCCCAGGCTGACAGAAACAGCAGATCCACCGGGGCTAGCAATGACATGGGGTTGCAATGACTAACCTGACCTGGGGCTCTGAGGCTTTCTAGAAACCAGAGTGATGGAGGCCCCGTGCTGGGGCTCTGAGGGCGCTGACACACATGCCACCAGCCATCCCAGGCTAAGCAGAGGGAAGCAAGGCTGGGCTGGGGGTACAAGGGCAGCATGTGCGACTCAGGAGTTTCCCTCTGAGCTGAGCGTATCTCACAGGGCCAGTTCGCTGCTTCCCCCACCCCTAGGTGGCCTGGCCCTAGAGTTAAGGGTCAGGGATGAAGACTAAAGGCAGAGCAGGCCTCCAGGAAACCCAGGAAACGGGAAGAGAAAGGGAAAGAGGAGGGGAAGGGAGAAGCGAAAAGGAAAGGGAAGAGGAAGAGTAAAGGGGAAGTGGAAGATGAAAGGAAGAGAAAAAGAAATGGAAAGAGAAGGGGAGGAAAAGAGAAGGGGAAATGGAAGAGGAAGAAGAAGGGAAAGTGGGAAAGGAAGGGGAAGAGGAAGGAAAGAGAAAGGAAGAAACAGGTACAACGTCCCGAGCTGCCGCGGGCCCCCCGACATACCCACGCGCGCCAGACTGCGTGGCCGCCCCGGGCTCCGGAGCGCGGCGGGCCGGGCTGCGCGATCTGCTCACCTGGGCTGGTCCCGGAGCGTCCGCCTCCTCAGCCCCGCGTGCTTCCTGAGCGCCGCCGCATGGACGGCCGCCCGCCCCGCACGGGCTCCCGCTGCGCCCCGGTGTGTCGGGTTGGCGGGCGGCAAGCGAGTGCCCAGCGCGCACGGCTCAGGCGCGGAGTCTGCGGGTGGAGAGCGCGGTCCGCGCGCCCTGCCCTCCCGCGCGGCCTCCCGCTGTCACCTCCAGGCGCCCCTGCCGCCCCCTGGCGGCCGCCTAGGGGAGAGCCGGCCCTGGCCCACCCCGCCTCCCCGGAGATGAGGGACCCTCTAAAGCCGGGATCCTGCCTGACCCCTGGGAACCTTGAGAAGAGACATCCACCAGGAGAGGCAGGGGAGGGGAAGACGGTCTGGACCAGAGGCTAGAGGACTGGAGGCTGGACAGTGGTAACCATGGAACTTAGAGGGGACCCGGGCTGGCTAGGGTCGTCCATGGGAGAGCAAAGGCGAAGGCAGAGAGGACCAAAGCCTGAAAGTCAGAGCTTGTCTTCATAGTAGCCAGCGGTTTGTGGGAGCTTTAAGGGCATCCTTGAGTATCGAAGAATAGCCATTCTGGCTGCAACCACGGGTTTGAGGCTGGTTTTCAGTGAAGTTTTCCTTTCTGGCGTCCAGGGTGAGAGGCCATCCCTAAGAGAAAGACTCCCTGAGAATCAGAACAACTCAGCACTTAGCCTTTGATCTAAGGTCCTCAGGCTGGGCACCAAGCGCCTTTGCCTGCTAAGCCATCTCCCATTGCCAGTTTCTTGAGTCCAAACACAATGCTAAAATGTTTCAGTTCAACCCAAGTAGTCTAGAGCTGGGAGAAGGAAGTAAGAGTGAGAAAAATGTCCCTCCTTTCCTAAAGAGGACAGGACGACCTTAAACAATTGAAGATGCATCCGGGCACAGGACTCTTTCTCTTGATGTCAATCAGCCTGTTTGTTTATGGCTGCCTCAAAAGCCTGCCTGCAGGGGGTGTTTGGAAAGGGCAGGTGTCTGTGCTGAGGTGGGTGGCGGCAGGATGCAGGCGCCCTACCTTAGAGCCAGGCCACATCAGGGGTGGGTGTGGTGTGCTTTGTAGGAGCAGGGGGGAGGGGAGGGAAGAGCGACAGCAAAGATACCCCATCAAGAAAAAAAATAACAAAGGGAGCTGGGAAACATAAGAGATGAGGCCAAAGAGGGAGAACAATTTCGAGTGCCTGGCACCTGGGTACAGCTGGGGCTGACTGAGTCCAACTGGTTCAAACAAACACATTTTGATGAGAGGCACCTGGTGTCTGGGGTCCAGATCCAGTGACTCAAATAGATCTTCAAACTAACTGGTTTCATCCATTTAAACTGATAAGCAGCCTACACCTGCAATCTCAACAGTTCAGAGCAGAGAGCAGGAGGATCAGGGGTTCGAGGTCATCCTTAACTTTCATATCCAATTTGCAGCTAGCCTGAGCTACATGAAATTATGTTTCAGACAACATAGTCAAGCTTAGGAGTACAAGCCTATAGTCCCAGTTACTAGGAGGCTAAGGCAGGGCGATTGAAAGTTCAAATCCAACCTGGGCAACTTAGTGAGCTACAGTCTTAAAACAGTGTAAACATGGCTTGGGGTGTAGTAGAGGGCCCAATGTCTGCCTGGCATGTATGAGGCCATGGGTCTATCCCCAGCACCAACAGAATAAATAATTCTTAAAGGACAAAGGGTGTTTATTAAACCGGATGTGGCAGGAGGAAAGGACATGCATCTTTATTGCTTTACTTTTTGAAGAAATGTTGGCTTTAAAGCTGCAAAGAGAATAAAGAGAATAGATAATATCCTTATATCCCTCCCTCTCCCCTCTCCCTCCCTCCTCCCCCCTCCTCTAATGTCAACCCATCACATAAACCAAAGTGCATTGTTAGTGACCAGACTCACCTGACCCAGGCCAGCTCTCAGGAACTGATTCTGATCCACTTAAAAAGTGTTCAGTCTTCTGAACATACCGTCTTGTGTCACAGAACATTCTCTTTATTCAGCCTAAACTAGCCAGTGAGCTGGGGGGATGGCTCAGAATTTAAAAGTGCTGGCTGCTCAGTTCCCAGCACCCATATTGGGCAGGTCCCAACCTCCTGTGACTCCAGCTCCAGGGGACTTGACACCCTCTTCTGCCCTCTGTGGGCTCTGCACACACATGACAATCACTAACACAAACATACATGTACACATAAATAAAAACTCACCTTTAAAACAAACCCCAGTCATTGTAAGCTTTAACATAAGAGTACTTTAAATATTTATACTAAGGTAGTAGGCTTCCCTTTTCCCACCAAGTATTTACCGTTACACACCTCTTTATCAACACACGTACATAAGTATGTATGAGTAAGATGGGGAGGATTTTGTCCTCATGTATGAAATAAACTCCTCACCCTAGCTGGGGTAAGAAGGGCAGGTGCTTCAGACTGCAGTCATGAGCCAGCTGCTGCCCCTTGGCCCTAGTGTCTGCCTAAGAAGTCAATGCCATCTATATATAACATTTTGGGTGGTGGGACATACCACCTCCTAAATCAGCCCATACTGTGTTTGAAGCTCTCTGTTAGAAGACTCCTTTCAGTCTTTAGCTGAAGCCTCTCTCTTGTACCTACTACCCACCAGTCCTAGAGATGGCCCCTAAAATGGTAGAGAAAAAAACACCCACAATCCTTCCATGATGTGCCAGCTCTATACATGGAGGAGAGCCCCTGGACATACCTGTGTCCCCGGCACAATTACGCATTCATGTTGCTCCAGAAGGGATGGGAAACAATGTAGTCATCCTGTGAGCGATGCCATCTCTTTGAGACTGACTGCCCACTTCAGAAAACTACAGGCATCGTGGTCCGCCATGCACCCCCATGGCTGGAGGTTCAGAGATCACTTGCGGTAAGGCTGCCTGAACATGGGAAGAGTGTGGTGCTGGGGTCTCAGGACCTGTGGAGCAAGTTTTAGAGCAAAGGGTGTCCATGGGGAAGGAAAGCAGCACTGGATTTCTGGCCCCTCACCTCACTGAGGAGCCCTAAGACTGCTCCAGGGGAGACACTGGCAGCTTAGCCCAGAGTCAAGTGAGTATAAATCATTTCACTAGGAGAATATTTCTTGAGACCAGACTTTCAAATTCTGAGCACATGTGCATAGTACTTCAGAGTCTGTGTCCCAGTAGGGGCGGAAACCGCGGTTAGCTGCTAGCATTTGAAGGTGGAAAGAAAACAGACATACACCCAAACCCCTCATTCCAACCTCCTGTTGCGTCACTAGGATCTGTCATGGTTCTTGTAAAGTTCTTCTCATTTTCTTGCTTGGAAATTTATATACCCTGTAAAGTCAAGACAGGCTTGTGCTCAGTAAATGGATAACAAGGAGGCGTGGTTCGAAGGTTGAGCTTGTCTACTTGACAGAATTTAGAAATCACCTAGGAGCCACACTTTTAGTGTGTCTGTGAGGGGTTTAATTAAGGTAGGAAAACCCAACCTGGATGACTGCACATGGGGGGCACATTCCATTGGCTGGGACTCTGGACTAAGCATAGAGGAGAGAGAAGACAGAACATTGGCACCCTGAGCCAGAACAAGCCCTTCCTTCCCAGAGTTGCCTTGGTCAGGTACCTTGTCAGGGACACCAAAAACAATGATAAAGCCTCTTCCAGTGCCAGTAAATGTATTGTTTTAAACCATTTCTTTGGGGGCCAGCAAGACAGTTCAGCAGGTAAAGGTGCTTGCCACCAAGCCTGAAGACCTGAGTTCAATCCCCAATGCCTACATGGTGGAAGGTGAGAACTGACTGCAGGGAGGTGTCCTCTGCCTTCCATAAGCACTTGATGGCATCATGTGTGCAATTCAAAATAAACTATTAAACTGGATCTAAATACTTCAGGATAAATTTTCTCTCCCGCTTGCCTCCTTAGCTCACTTCTTTTTCTTCCTCTTCCAGAGGTCTGGAATAGTAACCTACAGACTGAGTCTGTGTCCTTGCCTGTGGCTGGCTGCAACTTGACCTGGAACATGACCACATGGCAGACCAGAAACTAATTTGTCTGCAGCCACAGTCTCCGGGGTCACAGGGGTTGAGGTATTTAGATGGACTGTCAGGGGACTGGCTGTCGGGGATTCTCATGAAGTGTCCCAGAGGCTTCAGGGACACTCAGGTTATCTTGCTTCACCCTTTCTATTTCCATCACTCTCTCTCTTCCTCTCTTGCCCACATCCTGTCAACAGAGATAGCGAAGTGGCCTTACCTGGTACAGCACGACTTTCGGAATTCTAAACATTCAGATTATTTCTCATTTTTCCCTCTTTCGGCCACGAGGCAGCCCTCCATCTGAAGATGCTTCTCACTAAGAGGAGCAGTGCTAGAGGGAAGCAGGAATCGAAAGAACGAGCCGAGTGGCCCAAGTGAAGGAGACAGAAGCGGAGAATTTGTTCTAGAAAGGAAGCCACTTATAAAGGGCCGGAGGGAGACAGAAGCATCCCACCGGGAGTATCCAGGGCTCAGAATGCAAGATGTGGGATGTGGGCCAGGATGGGGGTGAGCTGGGGTGCCTGGGAAGCAGCTCCAGGTTAATAATCACAGACCACCACAGCGGCTAGGACCTTGTTCCTTCAGAACCGATAGAAGCCGCAGGCTGGGGCTGGGGCCCTGGAGCCCCTGCTGTCCTGGACGGCGAATCAGAGAGCCTTCCAGTGAAGAAGTGGGGACAGCCTGAAGTGGCAGCTGCCAGTCAACACGGAGAGACATATACGGCTTTAAATAACGGAGGAAGCTGTGCTGGTCCATTCCATGTCAGCGATGCTCACGACCATTTCTGAACGTTTTCAGACAAACAAAATGAATCCCAGTGGGGACAGCACTAGGCCCCTTTGTTGTTGTTGTTTTTTTTTCTTAAATATATACTCAAAGTAATGCAAAAATTCATTCCACAATTCTCTTGTAATGAAAATACTCAAAGCAAAATAAAAGAAATCCATCATTATAAAGGAATGTTGTTTGCCTTCCCCTGCTTCCTGGGAGACTCTCCTAATAAGGCCTTGTCCTTCACCCTTTGCACACAGTGCCTCTTGTACCCCCAAGACGGCCCGAGGGGGGACAGCTCCACCAGCGAGCAGTGGCTGTGTTTGCAGCTAATCCACTTATGGGAGTGCTGGAAATCACCAT